CTTGCCACATCCAGGGATACACCCATCACGAGGTTACATCCCAACATGCCGGTTAGTCAAATTGTTACTGAACATACCCCTTTGTGAAGGAAGAACTGGAGTTCTATGCTCGCCCATCGCCTTTCTTTTTTATTTTTCTTAATATATGACACAACGAATCCATCTCTATCATAGAAAAGAGTCAGAGACAGAGGTACAAGCTCGCATTGCGCGGGCGTCAAGACGCCGAAAACAGGCGAACAAGATCGACCTCGGACCAGTCAACGCCAATGATATGGGGATGGAGTGTAGACGCATCGTAGAACGCGTTTGTTTTCGTTTGAAGCTGACGTCTTGTTTGAGAGTAGATGTGACAGATTTGCGTAGAATAGGNGTCATTGGTAAGTTGAAGAGGAGATACTTTTACGATGTAAATGACAGTATAGAAATAAGTCCTACATATGTTAACAGTTGTTGTACTTCGTATTGGTTTAATATTCATCATGTAGAGTATGAGTTTCGTGACTGGGTTCTTTCTGGATCTTCCGCGGTTTTTTTTGTTCTGCCGGGATCGAATAGACCGATGAGTCATGAGACACACACGACACACACACTTGAACGTTTGCACGTTTGCGCACCAACAGGTTCCCACACAGGTCAACCGCACGCACCCCGTGGTGCCACAAAGGTTTAGTGCCCAACAGCAGCGTAACCCTCACGTGAAGACTGTGATGGGTGACCGATAACTACACTGCTGTACTGCTGTTGTAGGTGCTGTTGGAAACCGGAGGAGAGAGAGGAGAGGGCGCCGTATTTCTTTACCCCAAACACGATTATCACATGATGATGGCATACATGGATACAGCAGCAGCAGTAGACATACATCGCATGCACAGCAGTTCTACATGTCACGCTACCCCGCCGCCGATGCAGCACACTGGCGCAAGGCATGTGGCACCGCCTCCAATGCCACTTGGTTGGGTGGGAAATCCTTTGGAGACAAGAAGCACACACGCACGTACGGTTTGTTGGGATGCATGCATGCGAAACGAAATGAAAAAGCGGCAGCAGCAGCAGCAGCAGCCCGCGGCAGCAGCAGCAGCAGCAAGCACGAGCCGCGCGAGAGATAGACTATGCCTTGTGGTGGCAGTTGGTTGAAGACGGACAAGGAAAACACTCGAACGCACACTCGCGCAGGAGAACTCGGGGAGAGGCCTCGTAAGCTTGGCCTTCAGTTCTGCAACCACATTCCGAAGGCAAGGAAGAGGGCACACAACTCAACAGCGAGAGCATGATTTTTCGTACCAGATAAAGACAGGTTTTATCATGCATGCTATCGTCCCTGAAGTCACGAAAACCCTCTCAAAAACGCGAAGGCACGGGGGCGGGTGTCTCTGTTTGACACTTTGTCACTCCTGCCACAGCCTGCCAGCACCACAGCAGTACAGTACCAACATCACCACCATGGACCCAGAGGAAATTGCTCAGTTCTGGGAGGTCAAAACGGCCTCATGATCGCGTTTCTGCGTGCTGGACTGAGGTCCACAGCAGCACAGCAGCAGCGCGGGATGCAGGGTGCTGCGGAGCATTGCAACTCCCAGGCTTTCAATTTTCTGTATAGGGGACGTGCTTTTGCTGTCCCCGGTCGTTACTTTGTTTCTTTTCGAGCGGTCTAGTCGTACCGTCGAGCGGTCGTCGATGCAGGTATCCACAGCTCAATTCGGTTCGAAAACTGTCGCACATAAGAGTTATCGTGCATGCTAACATGCACGATTGGGGGGTGTAGTCACGAAAGGGTTAAGGAATCTTATTATGAGGCCCTGAAAGAAATATATGAGATAGAACCCTGTGAAAACTTCCTAATTCAAATAAGATGGAACCCCACACCTCCATACCGGTCCAACTGACGCGGACGCCTTTCGTGGTCAAAAGCCAACTGCCCCACCAAATAAAAGGGGTGTGCATACGATCAAAAACAAAACAACCCGAAAAACATGCGGAAACGAAAGAAATTGAAAAGTCTTCTTACAACGGCCCTCGAGGGGGGGGGGGCTTTGTACTACTTCCTTAGTACGTAGGTTTGCGAGGAGGCACTTTTTTCGGGTACCCGTGCTGACCACACAACAATTAATTGCCAGTCATGTGGAGGCCAACTTCAGAAAGGAATATATAATCTCCCCAACGTCTGTCGATGACGATTCAATACTGTATTGGACGTCAAACCCGTTTAACCTGTCGTACAAAGACAAGACAGACGAATCACTGAGTGATGACACTGAAACGCGCCAAGAATGTTGTTTTGGGAAAATTGTTGGAGAAACCAGACACACGACAATCATCCGCATTATCATCCACACTAGCCACATCCTCGAATCGAATTTTCAGTGAAATTTAAAAGCCCGGAGTAACATCACGCCGCTACGTGCGTAAACGAAGAACCCCAATGCTATACGGAAACCAACCGCGGAACATGTGCATGACATGCAGGAGCTCGCAATCAGCTGAGAGTGCTGTGCGTTCGTTCGCCTACTGTACCCGCCTACTATGCGTACCACCACCTTCCAACATTCTCGCACCAACATTGCCAACCAAAACGAACCCCATTTCGGGGTTCGTTTACCCCTCCTCCAACGTACTTCTGGCTCCTCGTCCACCTCTTCTCTTCCTCCCCCGCCCTCCTCCTCTTCCTCTTCGTCCCCTTCCCCTTGGTTTCTCTCCCCCTTAGTACCCCTACTCCTACAGTATTCCCCCTCCCTCCCTCTCTTTTCCTCACTGCCCTTGCCCCTTGTTCGCTGGACTCTGAGTCTACTCGTACTGCATATGCATTCCTGGAACGTCTTTGGCTGTAGTCTTGCGCAGCAACAGCCTGGCCTTCGGTCTACGAACCCCCCTGAGGGTGCGCTGATCATGCTCTCCCTCTCGACGAGGTGGTACGCAACGCAGCGTGCAGTCGCGCGAGCGCCCGCCCAAGCGCACGTGATGGCTCCGGGGCACGCAGACGCAGTAACCCTCCTAAACCGCGCGGCACTCCTTTGATATATAACGGAATTAGTTTTATCTGCTATATATATAGGACTTAGTACGGCGATTCGGGCAGGGTTTGGTCGGTTTGCACCCTTCCCCCCCAACAAAAAACTCTCCAAAACGACAAAACGTCGCACGCCCAGTTCTTCAGCGCTTTCGAAAGAGAAATGAAGTTCACGAGGGAACACAACCGGGGGTACGCAGACGCTATCCCTCACCCTTACCGTAAACCCAGCTTCCCCGATTACATGCTTTATCCAATATGTTTACTTAATACGATGAATCCTGCGAGGGCCACTTACAGCCTTGTGGCCAGATGAAAAACGCAAACAACGAGCGGTAGTTGGAGATCTCCTTCATAAGGAAGGGTAGACTTTAACTGTACAACCTTCCAAAAAAAATGTCGAGGACGACTCCCTCATTACACATCGGGGTCGACGAAGAGGTAATATATGCTTGAAGTGGAACGCAAACCGGGTTCGATTCCGCCGGCACCCGCTACGACTATTATCGCCGAAGAATGGAAAAAAAAAACTGCTCGTAGGACAATCGCGTGCGTATATAATCTCACCCGTTACAACCCTCCTGCAATACCAACCAATTAGAAGTACAGTTTTCCGGTCAAGCCTGAATCGCTTGTGTCGTGTCGGTCCGCACGTAAAAATACCCATAACAATACACCCTCACATACGTATCAGCCACAGCACTTCTGACCCACTATACACAGTTCAAAACCCGTCCCGTCTCTCTCTCACGCACACCTCGTCCAACACGCTTCACATGACATGGCGGGCCTGGCAGACCGTCCAACAGCGCGGTAAACATCAAGAATCGAAATAAAGGGTCCGTTCTACCACAACGTCGATGTGTCAGCACCTCACTCGGTAGCATCCCATTGGCTTGCGTGAACAGCTTCTGAATAGATTTCGGCCTGAACAAGCTGCAATCGCACCACAACTCGCTCAGCGGAAGGCCTTCTCTGGGGTGTTTGATTCCACATATCTTGAACCACCTGCACAAACAAGACATTAAGATTGCGAATGTAACATCACTTCACTCTATTGCAGTGTAGAGAGCGTATAATAGACCAAATCGTTGCTAGCGAAACTGCTGTGCAGCCGAGACATTAGCACCAAAGCAGAAGCGTGAATCCGTTCGTCGTGTTGTTGGGCGTGGTGAACCAGGATTCATGGGACGTACATAACGTGGGACATGCATGGCATTCGTGATACGATTGGCCTACCTTCATGAAGCCTTTGTGCCACGAGGGGTCTATCTCAGGTCGACCTTGGCTTGACATTGCCCTCGCCAAGCGCTCCGGGTTTCCCTCGTAAGGCAATGACCCCGCCATTAGCGAATAGAATATCATAGCCAAGCTGTAGATGTCGTTCGCTGGTGTCAAGGGCTGGTCGCGGAACCGTTTTGAACCAGCGAGGGTAGTAGCCAAGTGGCATCAATCCAGCGGGTGATGAAGAATCAGTGCGTGCGTGTGAAGAGCGACGGAGCGCGTGGAGATCTCAACTGGTATGATACTTACGTACAGAGCGCATCAATCAACCTTCGGCAACTGGCATGTACTATCATCTACTAGAATTTTGTATCGACATCAACGCCATCCTTGGTGCTGCTAGAATCGCGGGCGTCCTTCCACATACATCCCCCACCGCCACCATGTGGTGGAGGAACATAGCCTCCATGAAGATCGTACAGTTGGTGTATTCCATATTCCATGTTGAGCGGGCTGACGACACGAGAACGCCATGTAATCCCTGATAACATGTAACCGGACGGTGAAAAGAGTTGCATGCATACGTAGTCGACACCAAAAAAATGAAATTTTCAAAATTTCCTCGCCGCATTTTTCGTTGTTGGTGGGTTATGTTTGGCAAACACTCATGATTGTGACTGCACGCCAGAAACCTCCGGTGGTTGGGCTACACGAAAAAATTCCTTGCATACCGATGCTGCCATACAAATACAACCCTGCCACAAAACTGCAATCCATCGGCTACGGTACGAATAAAGAGAGCAACGCACTTCTCCGGCGTAGTTCTCAGGCGATGGCCAGGGCGTAGGCAGGTTCCTTTTGGCTGATTGTGCAGGGCAAGCCGTCCCGTCACCAGCCTGGCTTACGCTCATGAGGAGGGCGCTGTTGAAGTCGTTCAGCATGACGCGACCATCATCGTCCATGAGCAGCTGTTGAGGTTTCAGGTCGACATGAATGGAACTGGCGATTTCGTGCAGGGCCTGCAAGCGATAGTAGGGATAGCAGGGATAGCAGGCGACCCTTCAGCCATGCGTGCATAATCTTGGAAAATGGACAGCGGGCGGAGCATTTTCATCAGTACGTCAAGCTGCCACCGTTTCTCAAGCTGGGGGCGATGCTTGGAGGCAGGTCGGTCGGGTCCGTCCAAACCGCCACGTGTCTCGTTTGTTAGGTCGAGTGCTCCAGCGTTTACCTATCCGATCTTCAAGAACAAGTTACAAAACAAGTGGTCACCTGCAGTCCCCTCGCCGCATCCAGCGCCATGGAGACAACCGCTAGGTCCGGTAGTTCAATTCTTCCGCGAAAAATCGCCCGTAGAAAGCTCGTGGTATAGTATTCCGTCACGACCATGGTGTCGCAAAATCCAAGCATACCGACGATGTTTCGATGCCCCCTCATCTGGCACGCACGTTTAAAAGGATAGAACCGCCACCGTCACTTCGTGCAAGCCTCACTGCAGGTTGCCGTTTGAAGTAAACCAAACTGAATGCCGGATCCTCTACAGAGTTGCTTCGACACAACGGCCGATTCAAAGCCGGGCCTCCCCAGACGTTGCGCCATGAGAGCTTTCCTACATTCCAAGCAAGAACTTCGCAGTTGGGGTCAAATCTTACTGTACATACCCGTGCCAAACATCGTGGTTTCCGGGGCTGGACTTTCTCGCGAATGTCTTGTTTACAACCTTTGGAGCGGTCTGCCTCGCGAAATATTCGGAATTACTCCGTATTTTTCGGTCTCCCCGAAAAGTTGTAGCTCTCACTGAGTCATCTCTCGAATACTCACCTCTTGTGCTAGAGTGCTAGAGGGGAACCCTGAATTGCTTTGGCGAGGCACGAACCTTTTGGCTCCATTTCTTACCCCGACATCATTTTCGCCATACCACCGCCCAAGGTTTCCGTCGAGACGACTTGTTCGTGGTGGGTAAAAGGTACAATTTTTCTCGCAGGCCGAAGAGCTGATTCGGAATCATGCTCGGGGCAGGCTGTCCCAAACCTCGTGAACGCCAAGATTTTCGCGAGGAAGATTATGTCCCGGTGAAAAGCGTAGGAAAAGCTTTTGTGGTATGCAGCTTCGACGAAGCTCAATGGCCCAATTATTGCAAAATTGGGGAAACTTGGGCATCGTCACTGTTGGGGGTCTGGACAAGATTCGCTTGTCTCAGCATGGCAGGTACCCCAAGGTATAGTTACTTGTTTTTGCTTGGAGAGTGGCGTGAGGTGTATGATCTGTTCGCCCCGTCCTCGGGGTGCACTCAGCAAAGCTCACGCCTATCCACTCACCGCGTCAAGGGTTAAAATCTCCCGCTTGTGTTTCATGAGATGCACCTTTTTGCTCCTACCATCGTCCATGTTCCGTAGGGTCTTGAGCGCCACCTTTCTCCCTTCATACTCCACCAAATACACATCGCGGACTCTGCCGTTGCCCACCAAGGTTTTGTTTCCCGCCAGCATCCTCTGTGCAATCGTGCAGAAAGGGTATCGCCAGCGAAGATAATAGAGGCAGCCGTAGCCGTTCAGAAAGCAATGTAACAGAGTTGCAACCGTTGAAGAACACGGGAAGAGGCACGGGCTCGGTCTCGAGGAGAGCATGTCCAGTCAAGTGTTCCGCTTTACCATTGGTCAACCCGGTCTATCCATAGTACCCTATGAGTGATGCAGGTCTTTCCAGGCGATGAAGCCTCAAAGTGTCCGCACAAAAGAGAGTCCCAAACCGAGGAAAGACTACACTGCACCCTTTCATTTTATGTGCCTCCCTAGCAGGTCCTCCGAGCATTAGCATACGTTGTACGACAATTCAGGATGGTCAACAGATAGGGCGACCCAGACAGCAACGCAGCGATGCAGGTATAATATTTCCATTCACACTCGCGCGGTATTGAGTCTTGCCTGGATTTCGTTGCATCCATAATCGTAGTTTGCTGGGTCCACCACCCTATCCCACAACGGACTTGGTGTGCACGGCTCTCCTGCTTCCGTCACGTCCACGTGATACAGCTTCCTCCTTCTCCTCCCCCCGCCTCTCCCCCTACCGTTATCTTGTCCGGCGCTCGGGAAAGCATCCAGGTCTTCGGCTGTGGCCGTTGTGTTTGTTGCAACCGCTGCCCAGCCTTGTGACGGGGCCGATGCCGCAAACATGATGGCCACAAGGACGATCATCTCCAAGGTTGTAATGGCTGCAAGCAAGCGGCGGACTTCATACCAGGCAAAAGGCGAGGATGTGGCGAACGTCTCCGCCATTGCTGCTCCCAAAATCACGCTGATCGATGCGGGGACGGGGCAACAGCGTCGAGCGTTACCGATTGATGATGAAATATTTTCCGCCATGCACAAGAATAGCCTGTCGAGCGAGTGCTAGGACATACACTCGTCTTGTCCGTGCGTGCGCCTAAAACCCTTCAACATCTTGGTAGGATAACTTACGAAGTCAAATACCTGGTAAAATTGTATCATGCATGTGCTATTATCGTCGTACTGAAAACGAATATAGGCCGCCAGTGCTCACCAAATGCGTCGTATTTTGATTTTTCGATTCGTGGTAGATTACTTTTCGAAATTTTCCCCTCCCGGGAGGGGAGGGGCTGCGTATGTGTCCGGAGATACATTCGCTTAGAATATCACCACCGCAGTAACTTACACTTGCCTAACTCCACCCTCACGTCCACGATCTTATATTCGCATATTTCACCCTCCACAAAGATAGCATGGGGCAGATATCTTCACCTTAAACCCAACGGAAACTCCCCCACGTTATGACCCTGTATTTTCCATGCGTAGTGTTCGTCTACAAGTACACATGTTAACTGTAGGATGCGCAAGAGTTCACACCTCCCTGGGCCGATTGTTAAGCTCCGATTACAGAGGTGACGAGAGTTTGGCATATTTTTCGTATATCATCTCCTACGGCTTCTCCACACGGATTCTTACTTTTTGCTCACATGGATTGACATTTCTCAGCACACACAGATCCCACAGCAGTCACCACTAGCTTCAACGACGCCTACAGGTGTGGTACAGCCTTCAAGATGTGGTGGCTATCCGACCATCATGGAGGGAGTTCTCTGTGGTGATGTGGTGAGAGGTCTGTCTCTTGGTCGAACCCGTGTCAAATCAGGGGTATGCCAGTCCAAAAAAATCCGTCGGGCTATTTTTCGGTTCCCGGCACAAGATACAGTCAGATACAAAAAGATGGCCACCGATTTGTCTTGTAGAGTGAGCCTGATTACACCCACATGGGGGATATCGCTGTGTGCTGCTCGGGGAAGCCGTAGAAACACAAGTAAGTTGCCGCACAACACTTTTCATCCATTGCTAATGCTGTATTACGGACTATTTTCTATGGATCGGGTGGAAATGGACCTTTGTGTTACATACTTCTTACGGGGTATCATAAGGGAAAAAAAATGAAGCCAACAACCGTTTCTGGTACTTTCGTGCAGACGCATTGTTATCATTGCTCTGAGGTCGTTGGCTTCTTCTATTTCTTTAGTCTATTATGTACGATTGCGTAAGGAAGGGTACCATAAACAGCACACACACCAGAAAAAACAAAATCACCCCCCTCAACACCTTCTTTCTACACCTTCCCAGTATAGCACACAGAAAAGATACACATGACGGCTACCAAAATCTGTCTTGTTGAGCTTGCATGCTGTATGCGAAGACTCTCAACACATCCCGTTCGACTAAACTGCTGTGGTTATATACGTATATGTATATTTCGAACGGGTAATAGTTTTTCTGTGTTCGTTTGTATTATTTTATGCCGCTGTGCTTGGGAAATGAATGGAGGAAACAGAAGTAGCCCGCTGACGCTATGAAGCCATTGCTAAACTATCTTATAATGTCGAATACTTTCTGTCCTACTGCTGTAGATAGAGATGGACTCGTTATGTCACTCTACAAACACGCCGCGGAGCGGTTCTTTGTAGTAATGTGTAGAGATACTCCATGAACAAACAGCGAACAATGTTAAGGTGGACCCGATTCGCAGGGTATCCGTCGATTGACTTTTACAGTGGGGGCTACGGTTTTAAGAGAGCTCACCTTAAGAGAATTGCCGGTTTAAGAGAGGTCAAAACAGCTAAACACAACCCTCTCTTAAATCGAACCTCGATTCTCTTAAACCGAACCTGCCCACCCACCCACCCTGAAGCCCGGCAACCCGCAGCCCCCACGGCTTGCTGTACCACCTGTCCCCCACTACTGTACAGACAACTGTCCTTAACAACATGCGATCACAGCGATCAGAGCCAACGAGACAAACAGCTCCCACGGATGCCCGGAGCGCCCAACCACACACACGGCACACACATTGTTGCTCTTGCCGAGAGAGGAGGGCATAACTTAACCAAAGAAGAAAAGGATATTGAGGGTCTAGATGTGTACGGTATGTTGGAGTACCTACATGGACCAAATGGAACGGCCAAAGCTAAGGTCGAATTCAGGACCGGGGACATCGGCCTTCGAGAACGTAGACAAAGATTTAGGGAGAAGGTAGACGATGAAGACAAGGAGCAGTTCAAATGTGATTGCGGCTCCGAGTGCGAAGACCGGGGTCAGCACTTGCGGAATGAATATCCGTTGTCCAAGGAGAGGGAGGTAGGTGTACAGGACTGAGCTGTGGGGGGGATCGTAGAACGGGGTTACAGGGAGATGTTTGAGGCATGGAGTAACCGGGAGAAGGCGAGGCTGTACGGGGCATACGCATAGGAAGTAGGGTGAAAAGGCGGGAAGTGGTATCGATAGGATAGGTCGACATTTATTTTTGAGTCACGTCTGTGGCAAAGCAGGAAGGAAAACGATTGCCCATCGGTGATCGGTCCTGACCTATGGGAACAATGCTCCCTCTCGAGGACGCGTGGTCAATGGTCTAACCTCTAAGGCGTGCGAAACAGAAGAGTACGCCCCCCCCCCCCCCCCCCCCCCCCCCCCCCCCCCCCCCCCCCCCCCTCCCCGTGCTCTTAATAAACCACCCATGCCAGAATACACTGCTGTACACCTTAGAGACCATGTAATTACACCTACTACTTGCTGCTCTGCTGCATGCTTGCTTCTGCTGCTGTGGTGTTGTGCTTCGTACACAGCAACAAGGAGAAATCACTTTGGGTAAGGGTCTATGACCAACGAAAATATTGTGCAACACAAATAAAAAATATCTTTAATTCGTGGAAGCCAGGATATTCGTATCTTCATATACTTACACACATACGAAGGGAGTTAAGAACCTTCGACAGACGATAATTCATCGCTCTACTCTGGATCTTTACTCTATGGGTTATTTGCTCCGACAGGGGTCGGGGTGGATCTTTATAGTTGGTACCGAGAGCCAACAAGGGTCTCGGCCAACGCCCACTCGCAACCTTACCCTAGCCTTGACCGAGCACGCTCGGTCACCGCTTGACATTCCTCGTCACATCTCAACAGAGGGAACTGGCCTGCCTCCGGTGGTAGGCATATACCACCTCGCTAAATTGGGACCTCAGCTCACACGAAGTTGAGGGTATTCACATTGGCGTCGACGAAGAGCGGTCTCTGTGTGTCTTTCTCCTCTGTTCACCCATTTTTCCAACACGGGCAACAATCAGAGGAGGAAAGACAACAAGGCCGGTCCGAACCAGCAGGCGCGCACGGGCGCCGGTAGCGGTGCACCTCAGACCCCCTCAACCAAACCCAACCTCAAGCCTGCACAGCAGCCTACACAGCAGTATCAGCAGTCATCGGGCAAGAAATCGTCCAACAACGGGAAAGGACCTCTTGCCAACGTTGGCTCTTCGTCACCCGGCTCGAAAGACTACGCTAGCGTTGTACGCAACGGCGCTGAAAAAGGTGGCAACCCCAAAATGGAGGCGGCAACTCCAACGCTGGGGGTGGCAGCTCCAGCAATGGAGGTGGCAGCTCCGGGGGCGGAGGGGTGGATCCTAACAACCGTTACTCCGCGCTTGCCGGGGACGCGCAGGATGACCCAGCCGATGGAAGCCGGGAAGACGGAGAAACCCGTCCAATCGATTCCACTCGCGCACTGCTCTCCGATGTCGTCGGCCAACTTCCGCAATCCACCGATACCAAGTCCTCGCCCTCTGCTTCCATCACGCAACTTCTGGGACCGTTCATCGTGGAGAGCTTGAGGGAAGCCAGAGACAACAAGGTCAAGCCGTATGACTGGATCATGAGTCTCGCCATGGGAACACCGATGCAAACCACAGCAATCACCCAGGTGAAACCACACCGTTTAGAGTGCGATTTTTCTGCCGATCGGATCGTTGACACTCCGATCATTCAGCAAGTTGTCTCACCCCAGCAGCAGCAGCAGCAGCAGCAGCAGCAGCAGCGCGTAGCAGCTTCACCCCAGCAAGGTGAAACTGGGTCACAATAGCAGCAGACGAATGTAGCACCTTCACCCCAGCAAAGTGGAGACGTGTCACAAACGCAGAGAACGATTTCGCCACCACACACACGAGCAACGCAATCGCGCAACTGAAGATACTTTTCGCGCTCTCAAAGCTTCCGAGTTTCCGTCAACTCTGAAACTTGAGGGTCTCCCATCGAAAGATGTACCCGAAATCATGGGGCAGTATCGCACACACATTCGCCCCTCACTGCCCGAAAACACCTCGGATGACATCATCGACCGTAGGGCCATCAAGAACTTCCGCCTCATAACGAAAGGCGCCGCGGCACAAACGCTTGATCTCATTCAAAGCTCAAGCTTGGAGTGGTGGTCGGAACAGCAAGTAGCCGCAGTTCGTGCACGAGGTGAAAGAGTCATTATCTCTCCTCCGAAAACCTGGAAACAATGGGTTAATGCTATGACTGCTCTCTTTGCGCCTGCGAACAGAATTGCGCTTCTCGCACGCGAGGCCATGACGCTCCAAGCGAGCCCTAATGAGAGTGACGATTTGTTTTCGATTAGAGTCTCACGAACCTACTCTAGACTTCTTGCCGAAGCCGAACGGACCGCACCACCCAACATGTCTGTTCACGAACACGCACTTGACAAAGCACTCATTGCATCGTTTGAGAACGGTTTCCCACCAGACATCAGGGTAGAGATGATTAGAGAGGACGCGTCGCAAACGTTCATGACTTCTAAAATGCGTGCCCGCAAACATGAAGCAAACCACCTGCGTTCAGCAAACTCTCAATCAACCGCCTCGGTATGTTCCCCTCTCGACTCAACACCACCACCGCAACTGAATATTCAAGCGGGCGTACTCGAGAACAGGGTCACCCAGCTTGAACAACAAATGCGCACCAACGAGGACAGCCATGTCTCCAGCGCATCACGCGGCAGTAGTCACAGTCGGGGGGCTTCCACCCACAAGCGGGGGTCACCTTACGCTGAGCAAAACCCTAACAATCGCAACCAGAAGAAGAAGGTTGTAATTGACGCTGACACTTCATCTGACGGTAGCAACAACACGGGGGGCGTAGAGTGCACGTACCCTGGATGTGCGGGGAAGAGCAAACGGTTCACGCATTCACGGCAGGAATGCCGTACAGAACAACGGGACAGAAGGAGTGGCCGCGTGGTTGTCGAAAGAGGTTCGAAGCAGGGATAGGATGGCTCCGATGGGCAACATTCCTCGGCCTGTTTGGGAGAAACGTCTAGAGACTCAATAGCAGCAGCAGAGAGAGGACAGAAGCAATACACGTAGCCAAGCGCGGTAAACGTTCGCGGGCCCTAGCGCAACAAGCTTTGTACGTAGCTACCGTAGACGGTGTTGTACAGTCGAAACATAGATCGCGTCTCGTGCCTTCTGACTTGCATCATACTTTTTCTGCGTTTTATGCATCGGCACTTGCGGAATACCCTGAGTACCCCTCGGTGTTTAACGCGTCCTCCAAGCGCGTACGTGTAGTCGCCAGAATAAATAATCACCCCATCGATCACATCACGATTGACACGGCATGTGACATTCCGTGTATTTAAGCAGCATTTATGCGACGTCACAACACGCTCAAACACGCGAACATTTTTCCCGTCCCCCGCCTGGTCCGGTGAGAACCCGGCGTGCTCCGTCCCGGCTTTGTAGGGATGCGAGGTCAATGGTCTAACGACTACGGCATGCACGACTATGAGT